GGTGTCAGGGGGTACCAGGGGGTGTCAGGGGGTACCAGGGGGTGTCAGGGGGTACCAGGGGGTGTCAGGGGGTGTCAGGAGGTGTCAGGGGGTACCAGGGGGTGACAGAGGAGGTGTCAGGGGGTACCAGGGGTGTCAGGGGGTGACAGCAGCGCTGTCCCCGTCCCCAGGGGCCGGGCCATGTACGCGGTGGCGGTGGCGCTGTGCCGGGCCCTGGCCTGGGGTTACTTTGCCAGCCTCAGGCTGGAGCTGCTGGCGCTGACGCGGCACCCGGAGGATTGGAGCGTGCGGGCGCGGTGGCGCCTGACCGGGCTGCCCCTGCACCTGCTGCTGCTGCGCTGGTACCGGCGCGACAAACGCACCCTGCTCAGGTGAGTGTGTCACCTGTGTCACCTGTGTGTGACCTGTGTGTGACCTGTGTCACCTGTGTGCCACCCCCTGTCATCCCTGTCACCCCCTGTGTGTCACCCCCTGTCCCTGCCCCTGCACCTGCTGCTGCTGCGCTGGTACCGGCGCGACAAACGCACCCTGCTCAGGTGAGTGTGTCACCTGTGTCGCCTGTGTCACCTGTGTGTCCCCTCCTGTCATCCCTGTCACCCCCTGTGTGTCACCCCCTGTCCCTGCCCCTGCACCTGCTGCTGCTGCGCTGGTACCGGCGCGACAAACGCACCCTGCTCAGGTGAGTGTGTCACCTGTGTCATCCCCTGTGTGTCACCTGTGTGTCCCCTGTGTGTCCCCCCCTGTCCCTGCCCCTGCACCTGCTGCTGCTGCGCTGGGACCGGCGCGACAAACGCACCCTGCTCAGGTGAGTGTGTCACCTGTGTCATCCCCTGTGTGTCACCTGTGTGTCCCCTGTGTGTCCCCCCCTGTCCCTGCCCCTGCACCTGCTGCTGCTGCGCTGGGACCGGCGCGACAAACGCACCCTGCTCAGGTGAGTGTGTCACCTGTGTCATCCCCTGTGTGTCACCTGTGTGTCCCCTGTGTGTCCCCCCCTGTCCCTGCCCCTGCACCTGCTGCTGCTGCGCTGGGACCGGCGCGACAAACGCACCCTGCTCAGGTGAGTGTGTCACCTGTGTCACCCGTGCCGTGTCACCCCCGGGTGGGGTCGGTGTCCCCCCCGTGTCCCCCCCAGGTCCTACGACGCCCTCTCCACCTTCTTCCTCAACTCCGGGGGGCTGATCCGCTGCCACCGCGTCGACAAGGTGAGTCGCACCTGGGGACACCTGGGGACACCTGGGGACACCCCCGGTGCCACCCCCGCTGTCCCCTGACCCCGTGTCCCCTCCCCCAGCTGATGCCGGCCCCCACCGCCGTCCCCGAGCCCAAGAAGCTCCTGGTGGCCTCGGCGCTGGCGGCGGCGCTGGCCCCGCCCTGAGGGGACACCTGAGGGGACACCTGAGGAGCGCCCCTCCCCCACCCCGCAGCGGCTCCCGTGTCACCTGCGCCCCTCCCCCACTAATTTAAGGAACACAATAAAGGAACCGGAAGTAAACCGGGGCTGTATTGGGGTGACCAGGTGTGAACAGGTGTGACCAGGTACGCCCAGCTGTGTGCAGGTGTGCTCCAGGTACACCCAGCTGTGTCCAGGTGTGCTCCAGGGCAGCTCCAGGTACACCCATCTGTGTCCAGGTGTGCTCCAGGTACACCCAGCTGTGTGCAGGTGTGCTCCAGGTACACCCAGGTGTCCCCACGTGTGGCTCCACGTGTCCCCAGGTACACCCAGGTGTGCCCAGGTACACCCAGGTGTGCTCCAGGTGTGCCCAGGGCAGGTCCAGGTGTGCTGCAGGTACACCCAGGTGTGTCCCCAGGTGTCCCCAGGTGTCCCCGGGCCGGGCTCAGCCCAGCTCCTCCCGCGTTTTCCCGGTTTTTTTTGGCATCTTGCGGCCGCTGCCGTCCTCGAGCTCCTTGGCCTGGTAATAGTGAGGGGCCACCTCCAGCAGCCAGGTACTGTCGATCTCCATCACCTGGGGACAGGGACACACCTGCTGACACACCTGGGGACACCTCTGGGGACAGGGACACACCTGCTGACACACCTGGGGACACCTCTGGGGACAGGGACACACCTGGGGACACACCTGGGGACACCTGGGGACACCTCTGGGGACAGGGACACACCTGGGGACACCTGGGGACACCTGAGGACACCTCCTCGTCACCGTGGTCCCCGTGTGCTCACAGGGAGATGCAGTGTGTCCCTGCCCTGTGTGTCCAGGTGTATCCCAGATGTATCCAGGTGTGCCCAGGTGTATCCAGGTGTACCCCAGGTGTATCAGGTGTACCCCAGGTGTACCCCAGGTGTATCCAGGTGTATCAGGTGTACCCCAGGTGTACCCCAGGTGTATCCAGGTGTACCCCAGGTCTATCCAGGTGTATCCAGGTGTACCCCAGGTGTATCCAGGTGTACCCAGGTGTACCCCAGGTGTATCCAGGTGTATCCAGGTGTACCCCAGGTCTATCCAGGTGTATCCAGGTGTACCCCAGGTGTACCCCAGGTGTGTCCAGGTGTGCTCACCTGTCTCATGAACTCCTTGGAGGTGCACACCAGCTCGTGGTACAGCACCCAGCGGGGCTGTAGCGAGAACAGGGCGCTGTTGGGGTGGATGAACACCGGCTGTTGGTGCTTCACCGTGCGGTACCCGCCCCGCGCCAAACGCGCCGTGTGGTAGAAAAACCCGGCGGTGATGGCCTGGGGGGACGGGAAACGGGGGGACACCGTCAC